TACTACGACATTCTACAGTATATCAAGCATCGGAGTTATCCAGAAAAAGCCACTGAAATCGAGAAGAGAACCCTTAGAAGGTTGGCAGCTGGATATGTCCTTGACAGAGAGGTTTTATACAAGAAAAGCCATAACCAAGTTCTGTTAAGGTGCGTCGATGCTGAAGAGGCAAAAATGATAGTGGAAGAAGTACATGATGGGGTTTGTGGAGCACATGCAAATGGGCATATGATGTCAAGACAAATAATGAGATGCGGATATTTTTGGTCCACACTGGAAAGTGATTGCATCAACTATGCTAGGAGATGTCATAAATGTCAGATTTATGGAGACAAGATAAATGTTCCACCCCATCCACTTCATGTAATGACGTCACCATGGCCTTTTTCTGTGTGGGGCATGGACGTTATCGGGCAAATCCATCCGAAGGCTTCGAATGGTCACCGTTTCATTCTCGTAGCAATTGATTATTTCACGAAATGGGTAGAGGCTGCGTCATACGCCAGTGTCACTCAATCCACTATTTGCAAGTTTCTGAAGAAAGAAATTATATGTCGGTATGGTCTACCTGAAAGGATTATCACCGATAACGCAACAAACTTGAACAACAAGATGATGAGTGCTGCTTGCGAACAGTTCAACATAAAACATCACAATTCCACTGCTTACAGACCAAAGATGAACGGAGCAGTAGAAGCAGCAAACAAAAAATATTAAGAAGATAGTGGAAAAAACAACAGAAACTTACAAAGACTGGCATGAGAAGTTGCCTTTTGCTTTGTTCGCTTATCGAACCTCGGTACGAACTTCAACTGGGGCAACTCCATTTTCACTAGCCTATGGAATGGAAGCAGTGCTACCCATTGAAGTCGAGATTCCGTCTCTCAGGGTCTTGTCAGAAGTCAAACTGGATGATGCAGAGTGGGCACAATCCAGATATGATCAGCTTAATCTGATAGATGAAAAAAGACTGAAAGCCATTCATCATGGTCAAATCTATCAGAAACGAATGATCCGAGCACACGACAAAAAAGTGCGCCCGAGAATATTCCGTGAAGGGGATCTAGTGCTAAAAAGAATTTGGTCAGTCCAGAAAGATTTCCGAGGAAAATGGACGCCAAATTGGGAAGGACCTTATGTCGTGAAGAAGGCTTTCTTCGGAGGAGCCCTTATTCTGGCTGAAATGGACGGACCTGAGCTGCCACATCCCATTAACTCGGACACAGTCAAGAAATACTTCGCTTAGGATGAAAACCCGAGAGGGCGTCCTAAGTTAAAAAAAAAAAAAAAAAGAACGTTTAGGGTGAAAACCCGAAAGGGCACCCTAAATTGAAAAAAGAAAAAAAGAGGAAAAAAAGAAGAGGAAATAAGGTGGGTTCAAGATGAAAACCCGCAAAAGGGCGTCTTGCAACTAAGGATGGGTCCAAGTTGAAAACCCGGAAAGGGCGATTTGGATATCAACGGTGGAAACATCCCGACACATGAATCTTCTACGAACTCAACAAATCGGAGAAATGTTGCACCCTCCCAAACGTTGTCGCATTTTCAAAGATCCTTTGGCAAAGGTTGCATTCAAAGTCACCAAACGGCTTTTCAACTCAGAAGTGCCCACGTTATCGAGATCTAAGACATTCATTTACACATCATTGTGTATTCATTTTCTAGAATGTTTGCCATGTATTATTTGTTCTTCTCCTCCCTTATAAATAAAGACCATCTTTCCTCCAATTCCTTTTGAGCATCTTGAATTAGATTTAAACCTAATGGTTTATTTATTTTTATGAAAGATAATCGCATATTACTGTACAAAGATTCATTGAAAAGTACAGGTATCCAGAAGCCGATCAAGGCTCATGCACATGCTTGAGATGGTTGAGGAGCATCTTCAAAAAAAAAACAAAAAAAAAAAAAATCATCAAACATTTGAAGAATTCAAGATCAGAGATCGGAACTTCAAGCTCAAGAGTCAACAACGACAGGCCACCGGAGATCGAGATTACTCTCCAGAGCCCAGAATAACATATGTTGCATATGCATTTTAGGCATACCTAAGAGCATGACATCCATAACATCACATATATGCATATCTTTGCAGGTTTTACTCAGAGCCAATTTCAACTTCACAACGAAGGATATTGGACTCCAGACAACGCAAGTTCAACTTCACGACGAAGGGACCGCTGGTTGTCAACAAACATTTCTCAATTTCAGAGCCAATTTCAACTTCACAACGAAGGATATTGGACTCCAGACAACGTAAGTTCAACTTCACGACGAAGGGACCGCTGGTTGTCGACGAACATTTCTCAATTTCAGAGCCAATTTCAACTTCACAACGAAGGATATTGGACTCCAGACAACGTAAGTTCAACTTCACGACGAAGGGACCGCTGGTTGTCAACGAACATTTCTCAATTTCAGAGCCAATTTCAACTTCACAACGAAGGATATTGGACTCCAGACAACGCAAGTTCAACTTCACGACAAAGGGACCGCTGGTTGTCAACGAACATTTCTCAATTTCAGAGCCAATTTCTGCTTCACAACGAAGGATATTGGACTCCAGACAACGCAAGTTCAACTTCACGACGAAGGGACCGCTGGTTGTCAACAAACATTTCTCAATTTCAGAGCCAATTTCAACTTCACAACGAAGGATATTGGACTCGAAACAACACAATTTGCTCGAGAGTAGATTTCAACTCCACGACGGAGGATATCTAACTCGAAGCCAAACTTCACAATGAATGACTCATACTCAGAATCTTCCAGTTTTGACTCAACCTCACGACAAGGGAATCATTTCGTGATTTAAAAACCAGTTTCAACATCGAATTTTAACTCTACGACAGAGGATATTCGATATGGACGAAATTTATGTCTTTTAATCTTTACTCTCTTTTCGTTACACGACAATGAGCAAAGAGGGGCAGCTGAATACACTAAATTTCGTCCTTATGTTATATAATATATATTTATATTATAAATTATATTATATATTTATTTACATGTTTCTTTTCAGGGCCCAACAGTGGACTAAACCCAAGTCCCACGTGAAGAAACCCTATGGCAAATTAGGGTTTCAGCCGCCTCTCTCCACCAGCGCAGCAGTCCTTCTCTCGCACGCCTCCCTCACGTCCCCAACAGTCCGAGTCCTCCGGCGCAAGAATCACAACCATCATCAACAACCCACATTAGTATTTTACTCGAATTAGAACACTAAATAGGCTGATTTTTTCACTATAAATAGAGGTAACTAGAACACTCAGGAGGAGGTTTTTTTTTTTAACTAGACGAACATACGAGATCATCACAACAGCCCGCACATACAAACATTACGAGGGTTCATTAGTGAAATACAAGCAAGTAACTTCAGAGATCGATATTTTGTAAACGTTTCGTATCAAAATAAAGGGTAAAAGTTTCGTACCTTTCTTGTTTACTTTGTATGTATGTATTTCCTTCACTCTGGTTTGATTCTAAACAACAAAAAACGTTTTGGCCGAGGACCAAAGGGGGTTGCTTTCGAAGCTATTTTGCTAGATCTACACGACCCCGAGGCCCGTTTAAAAAAACTAGTTGGATTTTTGTAACCTACGCAAGAAGACCTTTCAAAAAAACAAAAGCTTTTTCATTTTCGCCGCCGAGGACCGCGGCCAGCGCCGTTCGCGGTGGCCGACGAGGCGGCATACGGTGGCCGGAGTCTGGGAACTACGGCGGCGTTCATGTGTTCATCAAGAACACATGAACCAAGCAGAGAAAAAGAGAAAGGGGGAAGGACTCGGTTTGGAGAAGAGAGAAATGTGTATTTTGCTAAAAAATTTTGATTTTTATGCTTAAACATCCGCGTGTTTCTGTCTAAATTAGGGTAAACTACTCTTTCGGTCCCTTCTTCCTTAAAGGCTCATCATTTTGGTCCCAAATCCGATTTTAAATTCCGATTTACTTTCAAATTGGCCACTTGATTTGCTTTTCGTTTCATCTCAATCCTTATTATATATATATATACTAAAATATATTTATCTTTTTGGTGTTTTATTTATTTATGTTATATTATACCATTTTTCATTATTTCTTATATATACACGTAGATATATTATCGTTCGTACTTCTTTTCGTTTATTTTCATTTCATTTTGTATCTTTTTTTTTATACTAATATCTTGTTTAAACGTTATTATATATATATGTTTTGTATTCTATCTTATTATTTCCTTACTTTTGTATTACTGTAATTATTATCTAATTTTTCTATTATTATTATATATTTTTCCCTCTCTCTCATATTTAGCTATTATATATATATGGAATTAATATTATTATATGTTTTTTATTAATTTTACCTTATACGCTATTATTTTACATTTTTTATATACATATGTACATTTTATTTAATTCTTATCACTTTACATTTGTATATTATTTTATTTCACCTTTATTATGTTTTATTTATTTATTTTTTTTTTTCCGTTTTATTGGGTCTTATTTTCTTATTTCTTTATTCTTTCATTTTTTTTATCTTATCACATGTTGTCATACTTGTCTTCATTTTTATTTCCTTCATGTTCTATATCTCCATGACGATTATGTTACTTTTGGTGTATCATCTATTGTTATTTTTGTTCTTTGTTTCGTTTTCTTTATCTTTCAATTTTAATTCATTTTCATCACCTTTTCTAATATACGTTTCGGCTCCTAAAAGGTTCACTTTCAAGTCAATCAATTGTAAGTAATCGGATCGATATTTTACCTTCCAATTTAAAATTACGATTTTCTTAATTAAAGACAACTGGAAATTACACAGTACCGAAAGGGCAGTTCAAGGGTGCTAACCCTTCCTTGACTGTAACCGACTCCCGAATCCGACACATCTTTGGTAAGACGCAGATCAGGTAAGAAATAAGGTACCCGGTCAACCCATTTATTTTTAAATGAATGATCGGTGGCGACTCCAATCCACTTTTTCCTAAGTCGAAGCCCAAGTTCGGGGACCAATCGAAGGACGGTTACGACAATCATAAAGAGAATGGGGGAGCTGGAGAAGCTAGAGTAAAGATGAATCATTTATGCATGAAAGAAAGATGGTGCAATTTGTGTTGAATTTTCTCGATTGTTGCCTCTATTTTTTTGCAGTCTTTATCTTGTGCATGTGAAGGCTAACTTGTTTGATCGTGTTACCATGCACATCATAAGCTTACTTGGTCCCAACAGCATCTAGTGTTTTTTTATTATTATTAATCTAGGGTGATTAAAAGGTAGTATCTCTTTGAAAGACTCAATCATTTGACAATGAATGCTCAAGCATCTTATAGACGTTGAGTTCGAACCTGAGACATCTAAGGATAATAATCATCCCTTTAATCAATGAGATTGCTTGATTCGTCTAGTGTAGAATATGTTGGAAGCGTTGGTAACTCGCACAATATTATTGATACGAACAACCAAATACGTTACATACTAATAACCAATTACATTTATATATAATAGTTAATAAACCGCCTAGTTTTGCTATCCTTCACTGTCGCCTTTCTTCTCTCACGTGGTGGAATTTCATGGTTGCCTTATCCCTTGTTTTGCCGCCTCACTTTTCTTAATCTTGGAGTTTTCTTGTTGCAACATTGTACTTCAATTTTGCTGCGAAAATATCTTAGTTACTGCCATTTGTAATTTTAATTTTGCCACCTTAAATGATAAGCAATTTACAAATTGCTTCAAGAGTCTTCTAGTTTTGTCAACCTTAATATGCGCTTCCTCCTCGTAAGAATTAAAGATCAAGTTTGAATTCTAACAATCCCCACAAACTTAATTATCCATTCCGAGCTTTTCCTTTAGTCGATTGAATATATTTGCTTTCAACGTCTTTGGAAAACACTACAGCAAAACTGTTCTGTAGCGGCGTTTTTAGCGGCGTTTGTTGATAAAACGCCACAAAAGTATTACATATAGCAGCGTTTTCAATCCAAACGCCACAAATTGAGACTTTAGAGGCGTTTTTTGTGGAAACGCTACAATAGAGTATAAATATAGCGGCGTTTTTGTTAAAAACGCCGCCATAGGATGGTATATAGTGGCGTTTTTTCAACAAACGCCGCAATTAATAATAGTTTTTGCGTCGTTTTTAGAAAAACGCCACAGAAAGGTTAAACAATAGTGGCGTTTATAGTAAAAACGCCGCAATATAGTAGACATATAGCGGCGTTTTAGCTAAAACGCCGCAATATAGTGTTAATTTAGCGGCGTTTATACCAAAAACACCGTAATAGAGTGATAAATTAGCGGCGTTTTTTGTATAAACGCCATAAAAAACATGTGATATAGTGGCGTTTGTTAAAAATGCCGTAAAATGTTAAATATATTGTCCTCCCTTTTCTCTCACCCAAACCCTAAAATCATTTCAACTCTTCTTCCCTCATAGTTTCTTCTCTGGTACAACAACGACCCTCACACGATTCCAAGCGACGTCGTCTTTTGTCTATCCCGGTGACCAAATCGGCCCTCTCACCGACAAACTATAACACAATTCCACGGTTTGATCCCTCTTATCACTAATGATCTTTTTCAATTTTGTTTTGGTTGGTATTCTGAAAATGGGGAAAACCCAGAAAGCTAACATATTTGAGGAAAAAAGAACAGGTCTTGCCTTGAGTAAGAGAAATTATCCTCGGAATGTCTACGTGGTGTCTTTGCTCTGACGATGGATCAAATTATCGCTGGGAGGCTATCGGTCTGGTTTCACCGTCGAAACTCGATGATGACTCGACAGGAACTCATACTGCTCCATACCCTTCCATGGCTGATCTCCTACTTGAAGGTAAAATTCTATGAATCTTTATGCCGCTATATTTCCCTTTTTGTACGGTCACTCAAATTTCATAGATCGTACGCATGTAGGATCTTCGAAGCTTATTGAGAATGATGATAGAGAAATGGATAAATACCCTATGTTTAGAAACGAATTTGGTAACTCTGTGGCATTGAAAGAATCTTCAATTGCAAAAGCAGTATCGATCCTCAATGAAGACAATGTTGCCTCTACTGTTACTCCAAGTAAACGTTTATATCATCTATTTAAATATATTTTAATGTTTGATTCAATTCCCAAGCATCTCCAATCAAGTTTTATACTGTAGGTGGAGGGTCGTTATCTGTTTCAAGTGAAGCACTGAAGCGCGCAAGGAGTCTTCTTGGTGAACCGGAGGTAGGAGATTTATTTGGTGAAATGGATGAAGAGTTTCTCCATATAGAATTTACACGGAGGAAAAACTTAACGATGCGTCGTCAAACAAGGAAAACAACTTTCCTACGTCCTTTCCCCACGAAGGAGCAATGAAGACTAAATTGTACTGAACAATATGGTGAAGACTGTTTATGCATAAGTACTTTAATGTTTCTAAATTATAATGTATGTTGAAGACTGTTTATGCATAAGTACTTTAATGTTTCTAAATTATAATGTATGGTGAAGACTGTTTATGCATAAGTACTTTAATGTTTCTAAATTATAATGTATTTTGTTGTTAAGTAGTTTTATGCATAAGGACTTCTGTCTTAATTAAAATGTATGGTTGTAACGTTTGTTATAAAAACGCCACAAAATCACGTACATTAGTGGCGTTTTTTCATGTAAACACCGTTAAAATCTCGTACTATACTATTGTTTTATTAAAAACGCCGCTATAAACTCATGGATTACCGGACCTTTTGGAAAAACGCCGCTATAGACTTGTACATTAGCGGCGTTTTAACAAACGCCGCAAAATCACGTACATTAGTGGCGTTTTTTCACATAAACGCCGCGAAAGAATAATTATATGTCCCTCATATCTCCTGGCCGATCCCTAATTCTTTTGAACCTTTCTTCCCAATCTTCCCTCTTCTTCCCTAATTCTTCCTTGAAAACCCCCAACACGACATCTTCTCCTATCTCCTGGCCGTGAAAGAATAATTATATTTCCGCCGACATGGACAACAACGAGGATCTAGAGCTTATTTCGCCTTTCGACGAGACATCTTCTACTAGTCAAGAAAGAAAATTTAAACGATTGGAGAAGGTGAAAACGATTTCAGAAAATACATCCCCAATTGAAGCCCTGGATTTTGGTACATCAGAGCCCCATGTAGTTGAGGAGCTGAAATCGGGATCCTTATACGAGGGTTCTTTTGACGAGGAAAATGAATTGAGTTCTGGCTTTGATGTGTTAGGTGTTGAGAGAAACAGGTCGGATTCAGTTGCTAAATGGGCTTTGGATTTTGATTCAATGACCGAGGAAGTTGATGGAAACGTTGAAGGTCAGAGTCAAGAGAAAAGAATTAGATATTTCGAACCGGAGAAGTCAGAGAAGAAACTGCCTAGTTTCGAAGAAACGGAGATTAAAAGAACGAAAAAGAAATGAGAGTGAAAGGCGTTGGCGATGGGGAGATGCTCATCTTACCTTAAAGAAGAATAGCGAAGGTGCAGTCTTGCAGATAAATATTTTGTTCTTATTTTTAGATAACAATTTCACATAATAACATAAAATTCTATGTTAAATTATTTGTTTCGAAATGTTATTTGTCTACTTTTTCGTGGTTTATTATTAATATTTTTTTACAGGAAAGAAGAGAATTTCTTGTCCAACTTCGTGCTGAATCTCAGAGACTGCTCCGAGGTATTATGAACAATCAAGGTTTATGTACAATTTTGGTATGTAGCTTCATAAATGATTTTGATGATGACTATCTAACTCTTGATTTATGTATGACTCTGGGTTCGAAACTATACATGTTGCGTTTCAACCAGCACCGATTGTTCAAAAGCCCATATCATCAGTTTTAGATAAGATTCGATGAAGGAGGCTTGAGGTTGCAAAGAAATGAGCATTTAGCTTTTGTAGTTTGCCTCTATGTTGATTAAGGCTTGGTATTTTTTAAGGTCTTGTAAACTTTTACATGTTTTCAGGACATATTTTGCCATTGATGATCATGATGGGAATTCAAGCAAGGATATGGCAGGGACTGCATTTGAAGATGTAGCTGAGGACGAAAGAGGCGATGAAAGGGAGTTTATGGAAGTTGAAAGCGAGGAGACAATTGTAAAGCATGGAATTTTAGATACCTTGTGCTCTGATGAAATAAAGAGTGCTAAGAATAGTCATGAAAATCTTTCACCACAGGTTGTGAGTAATTCATATTGTATTTTTACAGTGAACCTGATTATTGCATGTTTGAAAACTTTATAGGCTTCATGATTTTAAGGTTGAAAACATATTTGGGTAGGTAGTATTATTTCAAGTGTATCTGATTTTGTCTCTGGTGCTTTCAAGTATTTTTCCACTTTTCTGAGCCATGACTTAAAACTAAAGACTTTTGCTTGTGTTCCGTAAAATATGTTATTTTGAGATGATTGTGCATTTAGTTTATTCTTGAATTGGTCATTATTTTCTCCTGTTGCAGATTGTTTATCGGCAACTTAAGCATGATGACTCTACACCATCTGTAAACAAGCCACGCAATGACTATTTGGTGGCTCAGGTTTGTATTTGATCTTCTATGTTGATTATGAGTGCCAAATAATAATCTGAGTATCTACTAAATTGACAATTGTTTGTGTTTCTGATATTTAGAAGTATTTTTGCTTGTTTGATTGTTATGGTTGAAAACCAAAATGCCAACTGGAAAATGATGAAAATTCTTTTTTATGAAGTTATATTTCATTATGGATGATTGCAATATTACCTTTCTTTAGTGATGGCAGTAGGTTGCAAATGCCTTGAAAATTAATTTATTATTAAATTTTAATTTACTTTCACTGGGTGACTGCATGTCAATTTTACACGAGTAAATTTTTATATTCATTTGAATCACAATCTGGAAAGTTGGCAGATTAAGTTTGTGCACGTTATTGGTTATCCCATGAATTTGCATGCTTTTGTAACTTTCTTGAGCAATATATGATTGATAATGTTAAGCATTTATGACATTTTTGTTATTAATTCTGTTTATATCATATCAGCGACGACAACTCTCCTATTATCCTTATATATTATTTGTAACTTTTTTTTTCATTTATAGGTT